CTAAAGCTGTATGCCATCCATTGCAGACAGACACACACACACACACGCACACACACACACACACACACACACACACACACACACACACACACACACACACACACACACACACGCTATCTCTCAACAGTTATCACCTTTCGACGCGGCCAGCACAACTGCGGGTTTTATGAAGCGACATGTATAATGGCGAACAAACAATGGCGGTAAGCATGCGATAACTGCGGCACACTGCAAAAGATGGCTGCCCCCCTTTTCAAGCGACGAATATTCCGCTCAGTGTGGTCGATGTGCGTCGCGCATGCAATTTGGTCAGGCACGGTTACAACGTTAAAAAAAATTAATTTGCAGTAGAGGTGGGTCTTTGCGCTGATATCGCTCAGCGATAACACCGTGGGAAACGCTCCTTTGAAAACGCGGCGATGGCGCTCGAGCTGCTCCCGTTTAGTTTTTGCGACGTCGGTGCAACGAAATGACTGCTTGCTCCGATTCACGCTTCAGTTACCACGCCTGCAACAACAAGTAAGTGCGGTTATTTCCTGAGAATCGTGTACTAACGCATTCGGAATGCTACGCCTATTGGTAGCAATGGTTTTAGCGGGAGACAAAGAAGAAAGGCTCGCTGTCGCGCGGCGCGCAGGCAAGCGAGCACAGGCCCAGAAGAAGAAAACCGCCGGCACAAGCATCAGGCCCCATGGCGAAGTAAGGCCGCGCACGACTCTCTTCAAAAGACGCTAGGCCGAGACGAAAAGATGTCGCACCAGCGTACGCCGCAACCCAAAAAGCGCTCCTCAAATCCTCCGCAAGCTTCGCGCCGATCGCTCCCCGCACCGGAACGGAGCCCAAGTTACGAAGGACGTCCCAGTCAAGTCGAGCCCGTGGCCTACTACTCCCAACCCGTGGGCTACTACTTGACCTACCCGACGATCGCGCCGGCAGACCAGCCTCCGGTACGCTCGCCGACGCCCGCCGGCGGCACCAGGGCCGGCACCGTCAGTCCGCAGCCCGGAGCGCTGACGTCCCTCTTCAAGCCGCCCCCGACACCAGCCTTCCTGGGCCCGCCACCCTTCTACCCTGGACCGGCGTTGCTGAGCGCCTTTCCGGCCGTAGATCATCGTTACCAACCGCTCGATGCTATACCCCAGCAGAATCTAAACAAAGTACTACTCGAACTGTTGAGTCATGCCGCCAGGGCAAGCGACGAAGAGCCAGAGGGCAAGAGTCGGCCGCCAGTAAGACCTGGTGGGTGTTGTCGTGCGGCTTTCTTCATGGCCACGCTCATGCTTGCGCTGATGGCGGGAAGCCTGTTATCCTTCTACGTAGTCAGTGGGAAGCTTTCAGAGAGGGACCTGTCCTTCTTCAACCTCACGCCGTTCGCAGTCTTCCGCGAGAAAGAAAGCAAGGTGGCCGCGGCGCCGAAAGAAGAGCCGAGCCCTCGTGCCACGACCTTGCTTACGACAAGTGACCAGACACCTAACCTCTCTGCAAAACCGGAGAGCAGGGTGTTTTACCTAGATCCCAAGTGGACTTCGGCACAGGAGCCCACGGAAGCGACTGAGAAACACAGAGTCAAGGTACCACGGTGCCGTACGGCCTTCTGTCGCGACATGACTAACCGCTTCAAGTCGCTGCTGAACTGGACTTTGTCACCTTGCGGAGACTTCTACGAGTTCGTTTGCTCTTCGTGGAAAACGCGAGAAAAGGGGGCGTTCTCACAAGATTCCCTGTACGCGCAAGAGGTCGAGGAGAGGCTGAGAGGTTCGCTTTTGGAATCTTCGGAACTTGAAAACCAACTGCTCAAGCATACCGCAGACAGGAAAGACATTACGGAGAACTCTACCTCCCCGCTGGGCTATGCAGAGACGCTCATCGAACTCTGCATGAATGACAACGACAGTAAAAGTGATGGTGAGAAACAAGCCGAACAATGGATGCACTTGCGGTCGCTTCTGACGACCGTCGGACTGGAGAAGTGGCCGTACCTGAACGACAGCGTGAGTAGGGCTGACCTGTGGACAACTGTCGCACTTATCTATCGACACCTCGGACTTCCGACGTTGGCAGCGGTATCGGTCGAAAAAGATCCCGAAAACGAGACGTCGCTCATGATATCCATAGACGAACCAGACATCGCGATAGGCCTCTTTGGCACCGCGGACGTCTTTCTGCCAAACTGGTATTCGCACGCTGTCCGAGGAACGATGAAGATGTTCAGCCCATACAAGTACCTCGGACAGGCGGATAAAGTGCTGGCTTTTTCGGAGAAGCTCGCCGGAATCACCAGCACACGTGGCGAGAGGAACTACGGTGAAGAAACTAAGATAACCACCGTTCACAACCTGCCATCTTACGCGCAGTTCCTGGGCTTGCTGTTCGATGACATCATCATTGTGAACGAAAAAACTAGGCTTCTTGTGAAGAACATGCGGTACCTAAAGGCTCTGAGAACACTAGTCCACATGACGCAAAACGAGGACCTTCTCAATTACCTCGGTTTCAGGACTATTCTTCACATATCCCCTCTGATGTTTGGCGAACAGTTCGTCGAACTGGCCTCCGTGCGAATGCGTCAGCTGACCGGAAATAAGAAGCTCGGGTGGCCGCGCTGGCAGACGTGTCTGAGGATGCTAGAAGAAGCCATGCCTTCTGTTTTCCAGCGGGCGATCTTTACGGCCACCGAAAAATTGCTCAACATTGAGAGAGTCACGGCGCTCCTGAACGACCTGAAGAGCAGCGCGGTTCTTGCGGTGAGCAATTTCACCTGGATCGAAGCCGCCGATAAGGCAAAGGCCAGAAACATCCTTTCCAACGTAAACCTCGAAGTGTTCTTTCCGTCATGGATAAGAGAAGACAATGGAGAAGCGTTCAACCTTCTCCTTCCAGCGCCACCCAACGACACCGCAGAACTGCTGAGCGCCTACTCGGACTTCGCCAGAAGGAAAACGGAACGTAGGCTGCTAGCCATAGCGGGCGCCGGCGTTTCGTCGTACCCGGAGTGGAAGGGATCCATCTTTGCCACGTACCCGAAATTTGACTACGAGACTCGCTCTGTCTACGTCCCCGTGGCACTCTTCAACTTCAGCGCCCCCGACACCGACGCCGGACTTCTGTTCCAGACACCACGTGTCGCCACACGTGTCTTGACGGCGTTGATCGCCTCCTTGCATCGCAACTCTTATCCACATCCGGGACCACCCACGATGCCAAACCTCTCGGAGACCATGACGAGCGTGACGACGTGCCTCCAGTCTCAGTACAGAAGCCTTTCGAACAACCTGCACGACGAGAAGATCCGCTCCGTGGTTACCACGACGTACGACTTCTTGGACAACGTGGCCATGGAGCCCGCCGTGGCAGTGTTCTCGAAGTACGTGTCGGAAAGTGGAGTCGCCGTACAGCAGGACATGCTGAACCTCCCTCTCAACTCGAAGCAACTTTTCCACGTCCTGTACACCGCGGACATGTGCGAGAGCGGTTCTTCGGAGCAGCTGAGGCAAGAATTCGCCGAAGATGCCATGACGCATCCTAGGCTTAGGGTCACGATTCCATTCAGGAATACACTGTCCTTTGCTCAATCCTGGAGCTGCAGTTCGGAGGACCAGATGAATCCCTCACAAAAGTGTCAGCTTTTGACTTGATGTGTCAGTCATGCATGCCGTTTTTTTTTTCTCTTCTGTTTCTCCATAAAACTTTCTTTCTTTAGACTGTAACGGGCTTATTTTTATTGACGACAGCTACGTTGGCATTTCAAGTCAGCACTACGGCATTGAGCTGAACACACTAATATGTAGAGTTGCAGTTTTCATCATTAACTATTAAGCACCACGTGTTCAATTTATTATGATCGCCATTATTCTAGAGCAGGGCTCTCAAACATGTGGCCCGTGATGGCCTGGCCTGTACTGAGCTAGTCTTCGTACCATAGTCATATCTTTGATTGATTTGTGGGGTCTAACGTCCCAAAACCACGATATGATAATGAGAGACACTGTAGTGGAGGGATCCGGAAACTTCTACCACCCGGGGTTCTTTAACGTGCACCCAAATCTGAGCACACGGGCCTACAACATTTCTGCCTCCATCGGAAATGCAGCCGCCGCAGCCGGGATTCGATCCCGCGACCTGCGGGTCAGCAGCCTAGTACCTTAGCCACTAGACCACCATGCCGGGGCCATAGTCATATATTTAACTTATTAAGCGTTTTAATGAGCTGCACGGACGTGATTGGTTTGAACCATATTTTTGTCTTTAGGTACACCACGCGGTCACCTTGCGTTCAAAAACTAATCGCTTAACAAAATCTATATTTCAGAATCGGTATTCCTATTGTCGTTCCGGGGTATCGATATGTTTCTCGAATCCAGACGTCAAATACTCGTCAGCAGTTATCCATATATCAAATAACAGAAAGCTATTTTCCATATCTCGTGCATGGGAGCGTTTTCTTTCACATGGCAGCATTAGCTGGCTTTCTGTTCCAAATCCCCTTCTACCCTCCTCCTCCTCTGCTTAGGTGTCCGATTTACAAATTTTGTCACTCCCCCACGCTAGCTGAGGAATTGCCCCCCCCCCATTTTTTTTGCCGAAAGATCGCTGATAAAATACTTTCTTTTATTATTTAGTATTCAGCCACCAGGAAAGGCATGCAAACACGTGATTTGTTGTAGCAATTCCACTCCAGCAATTTCTCGGTGTTCGTGTTTCTGATGAAAGTCACTCGGAGATTAAGAGTTGCCCCCCCCCCTCCCCCCTTTTTCTTTTTTTTTTTTTTTTGCTGTCTCTAAAGGTCGTCAATGTGCGAGTTCGTTTTAATTCGTGCGCTTGGTTGAGTACGTCAGACAGATGCCCTTAAACGGACGCCGCACCAACCACTGAGGTGAAAAACTTGCCCGACTACTCTGTGGTTCTCCGGACCGTCACCAGATGCCCTTACCCGTAAAACCGCCGCGCGGCGGCCCCTTTAATTTTTCTCCCTTTTCTCGGTTCTCCCCCTCTCCTCGCATCGCGAGGATGCCCGTCGTTTTGATTGTTCCTCGCGATTTCAAAATGTGAAAAAATTTATTACCGTGTGTGTTCCACGACGGGGGAAGGACGCATCGGTAGCATGCCCGTCAGCAAGAAGTCTCGCTTAAAAGACCTCGGACCACTCGGATAAGCGGAGATGGCCACAGTAGCCAGGTGGGTAAACGAGACCTTCCATTCTTTTGAACGATCGCCGTGCGCTGGCTTCTCGGCACTGAGCGTCGCGCGCCGTGTGTGTTCGCTGGGCAGCTGCAACACTGTGACGCCTTCTCGCTGTTTCGCGGACCTGGCTCTCTCGAAAGAGCTCTCACATTCGACGGCGCGACGATATCCCCCGCTTCGTGTGTCGCCGATGCGGACTCGCGATAATAGACACTGCCGCGTTAGGTCGATGACATCATTAGAACCAACTCGCCGGAGAGCGTGGTACGCTGCGCGCGCTCTGTGAAGGCAACCTGTGCGCGTTTTAGCTCTAACCGGATCTCGTAAGAAAACATAACGCTCGATGCAAGAGCCAGCGTTCTTCTTTTTAGTCATCATTCTTATCACTCGCTTCCTGTCGCATCGTAGCTGGGTTCGCGCCACGCGAACGCGCCACGCTTAAAATGCCGGCGTAAACAAACATCGCGAACGTAGTTTAGAGAGCGAGATAGCTTGCGCAGGAAGATAGAGTTCGGCAGCGCGCGGTTTCTCGATTTCGTCTCGTTTCGCTCGATAAGTAGGCCGGCACTGTGCACGACAGAGCACGGTACGTACACGTTTTACTGGTTTGCGAGGAGCTGGTTTCTCTGCTTTCCCCTTCCACAACTGCTCCGTGCTCACAAATGAGCGCGCCGGCATAACCACCCGAGAGCCGTTCGCGCCGGCGCATTCGCTAGAGACGCATTTCTGCGAATGTCAACAAAGCTTTCCTCGGCGCACACAACTCGCGCGCTCGCCTTTACGTTTCCGCTGAATTAACTGAGCGGTGGAGAAAATCAACCAGAGCGTGTTGCTTCCCATATCGATTCTTTACGGAGCCCGCGTTTGTTTCGATGTTCTCTGTTCACTTGAAATTAAACGAGAACCAACGGGAAGTGATGCCACATCACGCCGAGTCACGTGTGTGCGCATAAAAGTATCCCTGTCAAACGCCCTATTTGATCCCCCATTATCGGTACTTTGGAGCCGGGTTTCCTGCACGGTTTTGTTAAAATAAAATATACGATGATTGTGGGCGTTTTCGTGAGGGGTAAGCGTAAATTGTTGGCGCGTCGTTCCAGTACAGCTCGTTTCACCATCGAGCCAGCGCGCGTAGCGCCCCTCTGCCGTCCCGAGTCAATGCACCACGTACTACTACTACACCAGAGCACCACCACCATCTGCTTTGACTCAAGCGGGTTATGCCATGGCGCTCTGGGTGCGTTGCCTTTCTGCAGGGAGGGTTATGATTGGCCGTCGTGAAGGAAGCTCGATCTTCTTCCCCCCGTTGGGGCAGCTAGCGCCTCTTCGAACGTCACGAGATCGATAATGAATCTGCCGCCGGCGCACCCGCAGCCGGGATGTCGTGTTCCTCGCTTTTTTTTTTTTTTTTTTTTTTTTTTGCGTGCCGAGGACGCGCGCGTGTTTGCGCGCTGAGCGCATGAGCGGACCGTGACCCCGTTTCCTACATCGCGTGAAGATAATGGAGCTCGGCCCTGGCCGCGCGGTTTTAAACGAGGGGCGTCCCTCTCTCTTCTTCTATCTTTCATTTAATCTCTTCTGTGCGCGCGTAATTCGCCGTGCGTCCTCAGCACGCGAGCCGTCTTTCATTGTCTTACGGTGTCCCCACGCGGGAATTAATCAGCGGACGGCGGAGAGGCGATTCGTTGCGTGGTCGACGATGCGGCTGAAATTTTTTTTTCGAAAATTGCGCGCATCCGCGATTCAATTTGGTCGACACTACAAACGACTGTACTCTCTGTGTGCCACGGCGCACGGCGTCAGTACAGACGTTGGAAACGTGTATTTTGTTTACAAACTCTACCATCTGTCCCTGCAATTGCAGCTGCCCTGATTGTGTCATGGTCTATTGCGTACGGTGTACTACCAAACAAGTCTGTCTGTGAGAAGAAAGTGTGTTAGGACAGGATGGCTCGTGTGCTGCAGAGTGTACAGCTGGGCGTTCTCATGTTACAAAAGATGTCACGAAATTATTACGGACGAGAGCTTCATATCGAGCGACGCTCGACGAGGGAAAGAATCAATGAAGAGCGAACGCGACAGCTACTACTACGCGCAAGAAATATTGATTTAACGACGCAGCCTAAAGACATAGACGGCGTGTGTTCTCTACATATTTAATATTGAAGCCACGGTATATGGATGGATGGATGCGAAACCTTGCTCGAAGTCCTGAGGTGCACGACTCAATGCGCAGAGGGCCGCTTCCCATGTTGGAACAGTCACGCCAAGTTCGACGTACACAATGCCCACGCGCATCGAGGAGCCTCGACGTCCTCCTCACCCGACTGGCGAGGAGGAATTGGCTTCACGAAGCTGCGTGCCCTCTCTCTCCATAGGGGAGGGGAAGGGGGTCGCCACGCTCTGACTTGCTGTAATGGGTACGTGCGTTTAGGGCTTAAGAAACTTGCGGGGATGATTCGGCCGTAGGAAGTACAGGACCGGGTTGATTGTCTGAACATGGTGGGTGGCATTGTCTTGCAGTGGGAGTAGTCATGCTTTCAACTCAACCAAAGTCAGCGGTCAAAGCCGCTGAATTTCATTTCGCCACAAGGGTATCTAGTGGTCGTTTTTTTCCACATACCAAAGCTTCGGTGGCTTCTTCACATGAAGAAGTTCGATTCGCCCACTAGCGTAATCATCGTACTTAATTTATAAAAACATATTTTTCCAACTTAATTACTGTCTCAAATGATGTCTTCAACCATCATAAGATGCCTGCAGGTACAGAAAAAGTAATTGTCAAGACTGAGTTTTGAGAATTATGGACACATTTCTTATGTGGTTCTTAAAAGAGAAAATAAGATAAAAATGAGCCCCGTAACTGTCTGCATCAGAGTGCGACACCTAAACAGTACCTCACGAGGGATGGGGGTAAGGAGGGATTAAAAGGATATGATTAAAAGGTGTAGACATAGAAAGGGGGAAGGAGAGAGAGTGACGCAGGGACAGCAACACTCAGAAGCAAGGAGAAGATAGGAAAGATGGACACGGTCACAGGAGTCCGAGGACGGGGCACCACTCGGCGAGAGCTCTTTTCGGCGGCAGGAGATGGCGTAGGGCGAGCCAGTCGGCCAGAGCTGCGCTGTCGTCGGCAACCGGTCGCACGAAGTCCAGAGAGCGAGTCGGACACATCTCTTGAAACACGCGATATACAACTGTATAGGTGTCATCAACGCCTGTATGGTGACGGGGAGAGAGAGATAGAAAGCGTTTCAATGGAAGCAGAATGATTGGCCAGCGTGCATTCGCCTACTTGCTATTCTGCCGGATGAGGGAAGGAGAAGGAGGAGAGAAACAGGCCCTAGAACGATGAGGGCAGAAAGTTGTGTAAGAGAAACGAGCGAAGGGCCTGGTTAAAAAAAATATAGGGCCCCTTCCCTCCTCGCCTGCCACCCGTTTTACTCAGTTTGTCATCTCGTCATGCTTGAGACTTGACGCTTTTTTACATTGAACTGCAATGAACACAAGTTGTATTTATTCTCAGTCTCTCCGGAGTGTTTAGTATCACCTGGGCGTTCGCTTTCTTGTGGAGCACGTGGAGAGATTATCATCGTAATAATGAACTGTTGATTATTTTTCACGTTGTGGGCTGGGACAAGGAAACGAAGAAGAAGAAGAGGGCGAGCGAGGGACGCGGGGACGCTCAAGTGACAGCGGAGCGCTTCCGAACGCAGTTAAATAAACAAGTATTTTTTGCCTTATACCTTAAAGACGGAGTTGAGTCTGATCGCAGTGTCTGGAACGCCATCGTCCAAACATTGGTGCCGAAGAACCGGGATTGAAAACCAGGACCCTACGGACGGCTACCAGTCAACTGCAGCGGCATGGAGCGATTGAAGTCGAAGCGGACGTCGCGGCGAGCACAGAACACGAGGATTATAAACGAGGCAAGTGAGCTCCTCGCTAACGACTCTGCCTCCTATGACCAGCTCAACTCCATATATGAGAGGCTGAAGGCTAATAACGAATAGCTTAAAAACCTGAACAACGAGATTAAGCCGCATATACCTGACGAGGAGTTCGAGGTCGAGTATAACGCTGTCTTACAATACGAGGACGTTGCTACGCGCATTCTCGCTGAGATTCTCTGCAAGAAAGATCGCATGCTGAGGACATCGACCGGAACTCAAGAAACAGTTGCCCAGACAGTCGTAGCACCATCAGACAAAACTGGAGTTAAATTTACTAAACTGACAATAGCTCCTTTTTTTGGAGACCTATGCAAGTGGACCGAATTTTGGGAACAATTTTACCAAATTGTTCATAGTGTGAAGAAGAAGATGTGCCTGCAGCAAGCAGCATCGCCAACGCCCGGCTCTCTCGGCTCGTGCTTCGGTTCGTTGCTGTGCCGATCGCTGGACGGTCCTTCACGCTGTCTCGTCGCTGTCTTCAACGGCTAATAAACCTCCTCACATTTGGTGGAGGTGCCGGGATTTTCACCTTCCTTTCACAAACAACCACGGGATTTTCACCTTTCTTTCTTCTTTATGGACGTGACCCTTCCCATACAATTGATACTCTTCTTCCCTACCGTCCTGATGCTTCCGAATGTCCACCTATCTCCGATGCTGCTCGACAAGCCGAAGAGTGCCGCCAGCTCGCCCGTGCGTTCACCTCGGACGAGCAGCACCGCCAGAAAGAAAACCGTTGCACCTCTCTTCCGGATCCCAGCTATGCCCCAGGGTCTCTCGTGTGGCTTGCCATCCCATACTAAACTCCAGGACTCTCATCAAAACTTGTTCCCCGGTACGAGGGGCCTTACACCGTTTTAGAGAAAACCTCTCCGGTTAATTACCTAATTGAGCCAGTTTCCCGGTCGGATGACATGCGCCGGCGTGCACGTGACATCGTCCATGTTTCCCGCCTAAAACCGTATCATGAGCCTCTCCCTGAAACTTCTTATGTCGCCAGGATGGCTCTTTTTTTCAGCGGGGGCGATTGTGAAGAAGAAG